TGTGTGTGTGTGTGTGTGTGTGTGTGTGTGTGTGTCTCTCTCTCTCTCTCTCTCTCTCTCTCTCTGTGGTATAGATTCAGTTTTTTCCATACGTTTTCTAGCTTTTCCACCACTATTTGTTGTAACGACTTTCCTTTCCCTTTTGAATGCCACAGTGCGTGTCCCGACAGTCGGTTTAGGTTTTAGTCTCCTTCCAGATTCTCTTCTCTGTTGCGTTGTTTTCATATCCTTATACCACTACTGTACAGTCTCGATTACTGTAACATGAAATCACATCGTGTAAATCCACTGATTTTATTCTTTCTTTAAAAAAATATTTTGGCTATTCACAGTCCTTTGAATTTCTGTATAAATTGTGGAATGGACTTGTGAATAACTACTGAAAGTCTGGTGAGGATTTTGATAGAGAATGGATAGTATTTTTAAATCAAATTGGGAAAAACTAACATTTTAATAATGATGTTGCCTGTTAAAAAATGACGGTTTTAAAGTTCTTCCTTTTCAGCCTTCTCCTTTTCTTTCTTTCTTTTGTGTTATTGACCTTCAGTACTCTGTGACTAGAAACATTCAGGACATTCTTGCCTGTTCCTGATGTTAAGGGGAGAATGTTTATTTCATCATTAAGTGTGCTGACTGTTCGTTTTTATATCAGATTGAAGAAGTTCTTTTCTATTTTGAGTTTGCTGGGATTTTGTTAAAAATCAGAAATGGGTATTGAATTTTGTTGATGCTTTTTCTGCATCTATTGAGATGATTATATGTCTTTTATTCCTTATTGTGAATTAAATTAACTTAAAAAATGATGACCCATCTTCCAAATTTTATTGCTGTTGAACTAGTTTTTTCTCTTCATGCCCTCTCCCTGGTATAGGACCCAAGCCAGAGTACCACACTGTTGTCTCTCCATTTCCCTTTGTTGTGTGACAGTTTCTTAGTGTTTCCTTGTATTTCATGACCTTGACAACCTTAGGAAGTGCTGGCTGTGTATGCTGTAGAGTATTTCCCAAGCTCGGTTTGTTTGACACTTTATTTATGATTAGCCTGAGGTTGTGGATTTTGGAAAGAACACTGCAGAACCCTTGTGCCCGTGACATCTACACCGCCCCTGGTGACACCCTCCCTGGTCATTTGGGTCAGGCAGTGTCTGCCAGTTTTCTTCTTTGTAATGTTGCTTTCTCTTTCCTTATTCAGTTGTTTAGAAACAAGTCACCAAGTCCAGGCTACCTTAGGGGGATGGGGTCCTGGGGAGCGGGGAGGAGAGGAACCTAAGCACCACCTCCTGGAGGAGGAGTATCTCCATCTATCTGAAATTCTTCAGGTCAGATTTGACTGATTTTTGAATGTTAAATCAACCTCATGTTTCGGATAAACCCCACTTGGTTGTGATGTATTATCCTTTTTATATTTGGTGAGATTCCATGTACTTTTACTTTTAAAAAGGATTTTGTTTCTGTATTAAGAACAATTGGTCTGTAATTATTTTTCTTCTAATTTTTGCACAATTTGCTCAGTCTTTTCAAGCCATAAATTTTCACTGTTGGTAGAATGACTTTTATTTTTATTTGATAATATATCAATTATTCTATCAGTAAGCATTAAAAACTTTGTGAACTTTTTGTAAGCAGTATTTTCTATTTCTATATATGTATATTTATTTATTTCAGAGAACTAACCATTGTTTCTGTTTAGATTTTGGGATAGAGTATTGATTTTTTCAGAACACTGAGATCATAGTTTCATTTCAGAATTAGCTGGTGAACTTCAAAATATATACAAGTCTGAGTATCGTTCCGTCTTTGCTTTTCTAGTTCTTTCTACATTTATGAAATAAAGCCTAAGCCTCTCTGTTTTTTTAAGCACTTTGATGGCGCTTTTCATGTGTACTCAGTATTCAGGTTTTTCACAGTAAATCAGTAACTAAAAATCAAACCTTTGACAATTTTTGACAGTGTCTATAGTGAAATGAAAGACATGCACATTTAAATGTTTACACAACATAATCTTAGGATAGTTTGATTTTTGTTATAGCCCTGCACTACCCTACAGTGGAATGTAGCTTGTTAATGACATGCTAGGTAATATTTGTTAAAAATTATACAGAAGGCCAGGTGCGGTGGCTCATGCCTGTAATCCCACCACTTTGGGAGGCTGAAGTGGGTGGATCATGAGGGCAGGTGTTGAAGACCATCCTGGCCAACATGGTGAAACCTCATTGCTACTAAAAATACAAAAATTAGCTGGGTGTGGTTGCAGGCGCCTATAATCCCAGCTGCTCAGGAGGCTGAGGCAGGAGAATTGCTTGAACCTGGGAGGCTGAGTTTGCAGTGAGCTAAGATCACGCCATTGTACTCCAGCATGGGCAAGAGAGCAAGACTCTGTCTCGGGGGTGGGGTGTTGTGTGTGTGTGTGTGTGTGTGTGTGTGTGTGTACGTGTGTACACATATGGTTAAGGGAGATGCATTTTTTAAGCCCCATATTTAGAGTAAGAGGTAGTATTTCTTCAGTGACTGAAGAAGTAAGTCTTAGATTAGTGCATGTTGTCAGATGGTCTGCAGTTGAGCAAGTGGCATCTGCTGTGTCTGTGTTAGAGTTTCCCTACTCCTTGCTGTAGTTCAAGGATTAACTCGGCCCCAAGATTTTGACCAGAAGTTTACGTTCTAGGATGGTTTCATCACTCAGAGATATTCCTTATGCTATCCTTTTGTTTCCATACCTTTCCTTCTTTTCTAACCACTGGTTACCAGGACAATATCATACAAATGGAGTCATTGCAGTATGTAACCTTTTGAGATTGACTTCCTCCACTCAGTATAATGATGCCTTTCTGGCTTTATCCCTGTTATATCAATAGGTCATTCTATTTTATTGCAAAGTAGCGTTCTGTGGTTGGATGTACAGCAGTTTATTCATTCACTCATGGAAGGACATTTGTGTTTCCAGTTTTGGTGATCCTGAATAGAATAAACATTTTCCTATAGGTCTTTATTTGAACATAAGGTATCATTTCCTAGGGTAAATATCTGGGAAGAAACAATTTTAAACCCATCTTTATCCTCTTTAGATTTCTTAGATGGAGATTTGGATGCAGAAGAAACTATATTGATTTCATGTTGTCTTGTTTTACATTCAACTTGTTTGAAAAGTCTTTGAACTGTGCTTACAGTTAATAGTTGAATTGAAAATGACTTTGTAGAATCTTTGTTGGTAGTGCTTTCTTTTCCTCCCTTTTGGCCTTGCTGCTCTACTCAGTGTGGCCTGTGGACCTGAAATGTTGGCGTCACCTGGGAGCTTATTAGAAATGCAGAATCCCAGGCCTCGCCCTGGATCTGTTGAGTCCGAATCTGCTTTTCCAGATGATTCCCAGTGGTGACTGGGCATTGAATTGGAGAAGTGCTGCTCGAGAGTGTCATGGGCGTAGAGAAGACGTCCTAAGGAAGCTGGCTTTGCTTCCGTTGCAAAGTGTGGTGCAGCACGTATCTTGCAGCCATCCATTCCGATTTCAAACAGTTGGTAGTACAGAAATGATGATATCAAACCAGCAAAATTCCTGAGATTTTGGTGCTTTAAAATTCTGCAGTGTGCTGGACATCAGCATACTGAGTAGGAGTATTGCAGTCATCAAGCCCAAGGTGAAAGTTGCAGTTTATGGGTCATCTCCTGCTCTTCAGGCATTTATGCTCCTGAAGACGTATTTCTACTTGTAGGATTTATAGTAGAGTATATATATTAGTAGAGTATATATATTTGTAGTTGGTCTTTTTACATAGAAAATATTGGGAAAGGCAAGAATATGAAATGACTGTGACATTAGTTCATTTTTTTCTGCATTTTAAAGTTCAGTTATTTCTATTGAGAGTAAATAACATTTACATATTATAAATCGTGAGAATAAAGGAGCAAATGTGTTCTCTTTACATTGATCAAAAGTATTTAAATTAACCTTGCTCTCTGTAGGTACTGATTTTATATCTAAGAGTGGGTCACAGAGACTGATCTGAAGTGAGAAGTGATTCTTTCACTGGGAACATGAGTGACACTTGGCAATAAGAATTGTCCACAAAGAAATTACTTTAAAAAATAATTTATTATTTTTTTGGTACGGAGTTTTGCTCTTGTTGCTTAGGCTGGAGTGCATTGGCGCAGTCTTGGTTCACTGCAGCCTCTGCCTAACGGGTTCAAGCGATTCTCCTGCCTCAGCCTCCTGAGTAGCTGGGATTACAGGTGTGTGCCACCATGCCCAGCTAATTTTTTGTATTTTTAGTAGAGACAGGATTTCACCATGTTAGGCAGGCTGGTCTCAAACTCCTGACCTTGTGATCTGTCCGCCTTGTTCTCCCAAAGTGCTGGGATTACAGGTGTGAGCCACTGTGCCTGGCTGAAATTACTTTTAATTTGGGCTGAGGTTAGGGGAAATTTTTGTAGGGAATACTGATATAATATTCAGATAAAAGCTGGTTTTAGTGTGAAGACGTGACTGAAGAAAGAAAGTTTCTCCTTTTCAATAGTCTCAGTCAAAATAGTAATAAATTACCTCTAGATAATGAGATAGAAGTAAAAAGGAGTGAGAAGTGAAGGAAATATTTGGGAGGCTGCAGCAATAGGACAACAGCACACTAGGACTGCTTGTCTGGCAATGAAGGAGAAGAGTTATATTGAGCCTGTAAGTTACAGTAAACTCATAGAACACTCTAGTGTTAGTTGAATTCATACATTGACCTTTGCTATAAACTGTGTTAAACTCAAAGCAGTAAGCCCAGGAATTTTTGTAATTTGTTTGTTCCCTCAGAAGTGTAAGCAGCAGTGATGTGTAGGACTTTGTATATTTAAGGTTATTTTCTCCTGGAGTCAGTTTAGGGTTTCACATGGCCTTTAAACAGGATGTTTTGCAGCACTTTTTACATCTTAAATATAAACAAATATTTTAGAATTCTTCAATATTTAATTCAAAAGAATATGAACTTATTCTCCTTCCCTTTTTGCCTTGTGTGTCTGCAATGTAGGGAGGTATGGAAACACTGGAACTTCAGAAGGACATCAAAGAAGAATCAGATGAAGAAGAAGAAGATGATGAAGAATCTGGACGATTACGTTTTAAAACTGAAAGGAAAGAAGGAACAATTATTAGGCTCTCAGATGTAACTAGAGAGAGAAGGAACATTCCAGAAACTTTGGGTAACTTTTTTCCCTGTCTCCCATCCTCCTTCACTGTCATTTCAACTTCCTCCATAGTATTGCCGTAATTAATCAAAGCAGGCAAAGAAGGTTGACGAGGTAATTGTAGCTGTGTCCAGAGAGTGGATGGACTGTGAAGTGAGTGCTCTTAGGTTACTGTCAAACCCGTTCTTTAAAATCACTGCTGTTTCTGGATTTAAAATGCTTGAATAAAATGTTAAAGATAATTAAAACAAAATTTTTTTTTGTGTCTGTGGCCTAGAGCTGCTCTTGTACATACCATGTGGTTCCTGGCTGGTCTTGAAAAGGTGGCATGGGGATGGTGGCTGAGGGGCCATGTGACCCTTCCAAGACCCCGAGGTTGTCAGGGCTAATTCTGGACCAGACTGGTTTATATTTTGTACTAATGTCTTCATAAACTATCTGTGTCTGTGTGTATTTTCTCCCGTTCCTCTGTCTTTAATGAGACAAGTTGACTCGTTTATAGATATAATGACTCTGAGCAAAGCTTGCTGTGTTTAAGGTCTACTACAGACTGCTGCTGATTCAGACTTTTCTTTTTTTGAGACGGAGTCTTGCTCTGTCAGGCAGGCTTCAGTGCAATTGTGCGATCTTGGCTCACTGCAACCTCCGCCTTCCAGGTTCAAGCTATTCTCCTGGCTCAGCCTCCTGAGTAGCTGGGATTACAGGTGTGCACCACCATGCCTGGCTAATTTTTGTACTTTTAGTAGAGATGGGGTTTCACCAGTGGCCAGGCTGGTCTCAAACCAGAGGATTTTTAATAGCAACCCTACCCTCATTATACAGCTTTTTTCAATGTCTACTGCAAAAATTAAAGAAGGGATTTCAAATGTGAGTGAGCCTCAGACTCAGAGGACTTGTTAAAACACACATTTGGGGACCCACTCCCTGCTTCTCTGATAATTGGTTACAGGGTAGAGCCCAAGAAAGTTGTATTTCTTTTCTCTTTTTTGAGATGGAGTCTCACTCTGTTGCCCAGGCTGTAGTGCAATGGCATGGTCTCGGCTCACTGCAACCTCCACCTCCTGGGTTTAAGCGATTCTTCTGCCTCAGCTTCCTGAGTAGCTGGGACTATAGGCACGTACCACCACACCCATCTAATTTTTGTACTTTTAGTAGAGATGGGGTTTTGCCGTGTTGGCCAGGCTGGTCTCAAACTTCTGACCTTGTGATCCTGCCGTCTTGGCCTCCCAAAGTGCTGGGATTACAGGCCTGAGCCACCGTGCCGTTCCGAAAGTTATATTTCTAATGGGTTCCCAAGCAATGCTGCTCCTGCATTGGTGCTTCCAGAACCACTGGGATATTGTTCTTCTAAGGAGGAGGGCAGGAGGGTGGAAGGACACAGGGGCTCTATCTGCTATCTGCTCTTGTTCTAGATAAGAATCGAGACTGAACTCTCATGACTACTTTTATTACTTCTTAAAACCATTATTCATAGTCATTTTTTGTCCAGAACAAGAGCACGTTGTCTTTAAGTAGCAGACAAAAGTTTTGTGGCAGGACACTAAGCTCCAAAGATGCACAAGTTAGCAGTAGTCAGCCAATCTTATGTTAATTTACTAGGCAAGATTGTTTGGAGAGATTCTTCTAGAATCTTTGTGTTCTCCCTTCCTTTGTGGTCTAGTTTACTGCTGCTCCATCTTGTGGCCCAAGATTTCCCTAAGCTTTTTTCAAGTTATGGTATGAAGTTGCCAGTTGATCTGAAGAAGATTTCTTAGAAGCATCTTTAATTTCTGAGAAATAGAGTCTGGAATGGGCCTTGGGTGGAAAGAAGATGCAGTGAGGGTTTTAAAACAGAAGGAAAGGAATCAACAATAGGAGGAATTGGTAATATCACAGAATAGTTTTACTTGAGCAGAGGTGTATGTCTTGGCTTGGGATGAGATGAACAAGGCAAAGTTCTCCAAACCTGGCAGAATACTAAGGAATTCTAAGGGCAGTCCACAGCCACCACCTGGAAGGCAGAAGGCTTCCTGAACTGGGGAGGGATGGAGGAAGAGAGGATCAGTCATCACTACTGTTTCTTTTGCTGGGTCTTGTTAGCTGGGCTGTGGCGTTGATTCCATAAATTTGAAACATGATGTATAGAAGCATAGTAACTGAGAACTCCCCAGGGTAACCACAAGTTCTAGGACTATTAATTCACTTGCTAGACAGCATTACAAATAGGGGCCTTTCCCCTCTGTAGTCTGCTCCCTGTGGAGCTGCTGTGGATTTCATGGTTCGTCTTCCCTCTTCTCTACCGCCCTGCCCTGATTTGTGGTGCCTCTCTGCCTTTCCCACCTCCTGGTTTCCAGCTGCGTCATCTCATCCCTGTTCATTGTCCCTCCACCCAACCACTAGTAACATCCTTGTTCTGAAGTGCTGGCCAGCTTGCATGTGTGCAGAGTGTCTGTCTCATTCCCACATCTCCTCCTTCTCAGGACTTCTCCTTCATTTTGTTTTTTCCAAGGTCATTTATAATTTTGTGTATTTAAGTGACTTGTATCAAATCTGTTTTGCTCTTTAAGGCATCTGGCAGCTTCATGTTCATGTAATCCTGGGAAAAGAAGCTAAAAGGGTTGGTTTGTGGTGGGCAAGTCGTCTTCTTTGAATTATGGGGAAGGAGTATGAGGTCCTTAGAGAGAGAGGAGCTGTAAACATAAACAGCTTAACTAATGACCATTCTTGTCAACAATCAAAAAGGACTTAACTGCATTTGTGTAGAATGTGGTTGTTCGGCAAGATGATAGGGCAGGTGAAACCATACTTAAAAGTACATTTTTCTGCTCAGTATTTGTGAGCTCTTAAGAAAGCATAGTGCTTAGAAACATGAGTTTCAAATAACTGTAAAGTTAGGATTTTTCCTGATACCAAGGAGGATTTTTTTCTGTCCATCAAAAGATTGGTTTTCTAAAACAGTTCTCTTATTACCTTCAGCACCTGTTCCCCCAAACAAAAGATGAATTTTACATCTGAGGAAATATTTATTGAAAAAGAGTTAATGCTGCGGTATTTGGTAAACTAGACATTTGATTACCTTTTTTTTTTTTTTTTTTTTTGAGACGGAGTTTCGCTCTTGTTACCCAGGCTGGAGTGCAATGGCGCGGTCTCGGCTCATCGCAACCTCCGCCTCCTGGGTTCAGGCAATTCTCCTGCCTCAGCCTCCTGAGTAGCTGGGATTACAGGCACGCGCCACCATGCCAAGCTAATTTTTTGTATTTTTTAGTAGAGATGGGGTTTCACCGTGTTGACCAGCATGGTCTTGATCTCTTGACCTCGTGATCCACCCGTCTCGGCCTCCCAAAGTGCTGGGATTACAGGCGTGAGCCACCGTGCCCAGCCACATTTGAATACATTTTTACACATCAGTTTATTTGTGTGCTCCTAGAGATAAAAATCAAAAACTCTGAACAGTCTCAGGTTCTGTGTAGAAGTAATTGCATGTATTTGATTGTGTAAAGCTGTTTGCCTACTCTCTGTAATGAGATTATAAATATACTGCCCCCAGAGTACCTGGTGTCTTATATGAGATGTATTTTTGTGTTTTTTTCTTGGTGCTATCATTTGTTAGTGTTGAGAACACCTCATTCTTTAAAAGGGAGAATCAGATAATGCTCTGGTATCCCCAATTTCTGACTCCAGAAGTTGACATGTGAAATGAGTTATCTTCCAATCTAGGGGAGGGAGTTTTGGTCACTTTTAGTCTTTTTTTCACATTTAGATCCCCATGAAAAACATTCATACACATGACAGTCTCAGCAGTGAAGGGACAGTTATATGCATAGTCGTTTATTGGTATTTTGAATGCAGATTGGATTACAAGTAGAATCCTGGGCCTTCATCTAGGTTAAGATCTTAATTGACTAGCTTTTTTTCTCAATCAGGATTGTGGAAATTAAACCTTACAGAAAAGATTTGAGTGACAGTGTTCTCAGTTTTCCCAAGGATGGTACAGAACTACATAGTTAGGAAATAAATGAGTTCATTACATACAGAGGATGTCATAGGGTGTAAGTGCTTCAGCCCTTCACTGTGCTCAGTTGAACAGAGCTACAGAGCAGGCGTGTGTAAGGGAATGGTTCACTGTGAAAGTGCCAGTCACCGTTTCTAAAGACAGTCACTGACCAGTGTCCCCCAGTTGCCAGTCCTGCAAGTTGAGCTGTCTCTTCGTTTGCCCTAGGAGGTGGCCCTCGGATTGCCTTTGAAAACGGTGTAAGCCATAAATGAGAGACTGCATTTATTTTAGTTAGGCTTTTTAATTTATTATCTGTGAGTAGGCTTCCAGATTATTTTATTCTAAGTTTCATTGGCATGTGTCACATGTTTTTTTATTGCTGTAACCTAAAGAACCTGCTTGTACACCCACCAAATATTCTCTTTTTTTTTTAGAAACAGAGTCTTACTCCGTCACTGGGCGCCAGGCTGGAGTACAGTGGCGTGACCTCGGCTCACTGCAACCTCCGCCTCCAGGGTTCAAGCACTTCTCCTGCCTCAGCCTCCCGAGTAGCTGGGACTACAGGCGCGTGCCACCACGCCCAGCTAATTTTTTTGTATTTTTAATAGAGACGGGGTTTCACCATGTTGGCCAGGATGGTCTCGTGATCCGCCTGCCTCGGCCTCCCAAAGTGCTGGGATTACAGGCGTGAGCCACCGCACCCGGCCCACAAAATATTCTCTTTAAATAATATCATTAATTTCAGAGGCTCTGTGGGAAAGAGATTTCTCTGCAGTCACAAACAGTTCAGAATTGCCAATGCCAGCAGTAGCTCACTGTCTGAGGATTTATACTTGTGGTCCTTGTATTTGCAAGGCTTTCAAAATTTTCTTGATTCAGTTGTCTGTTAAAAAAAATTTGAGACTGTTATTTTTGTTTTGCCAAACAAATTGTGTATTCTACATTTATTTCAACTATTATAAAATCACTTGCATGCAAATATATTTTTCTTAACATCTTAGAAAGGGGCAATACAGTGTAAAACTTCTTTACATTGAGGTATATATCTCTTTAGAATCTGGATGTAGTTCAGAAAACACTTAAAGGAAAATTAACATTTCAGTTGAAGTTACAAATGTAATTTCCATCCTGTCATATTTTGGTGACCTTTTGTGACAGCTTGTCTCAATTGGAGGAAAGCATTTTTACTTGCTGATGAAAGATGTCATTTGAAACCATTTTATTACTGAGGATAGTGAAATTAATCTTGACACTCAGAACCACTAGAAAAATAATTGCTGATTCACTGCATAAAATGTGTGTGTGAACTAATCAGGTAGTCAAGATTAGAATAAAAGCCTATGCTGGTTAAGAAGAGATTAAAGTTTCTTTCCAATGGGGTCTAGTTTGATTTGAAGGGAAGAGGGTACCATAGAAACAATTTCAAGGAGATGAAATGTGGCTTAGAGATTTTGGAGGAGTTTGGAGATGACGATGGGATCCAAGGTAGAAAGTAGAGTCTGGTAATACTGAAAGCTTACCCCTGGCTGGGGAAGAAGGCAGGAGAAGAAGGCGTCTTGGTATCCTCAGTGACATTTTTAGAAAATGTGTAAGATCTGTTGTCCCAATTTAGCTAGTGTTGTAAAAGGACCACATGTGGCTAAATCATTTTTGTTTCCCTTTAGGAATCTAGAACAGTGTGCCATCTGAAGTTTCTTAGGGCCAGTGCCCATGTTTCCTGTATTCCTAAAGCATCGGCTGAGCAGTGAGCAGCTGCTGGATACTCCATAGTGTTTGCATGAGTGTTTTCTCATTGACTTTGCTCTCATTTGATTTGGCTTCTCTATCAGGCTGCATACATACAAGAAGGCTTCACAGTAAAGGGTTTTCTTTTCTTTTTTCTTTTTTTTTTTTTGAGGCGGAGTCTCGCTCTTGTTGCCCATGCTGGAGTGCAATGGCACAATCTCAGCTCACCGCAACATCTGCCTCCCAGGTTCAAATGATTCTCTTGCATCAGCCTCCCTAGTAGCTGGAATTACAGGCAGGCACCTCCATACCCAGCCAATTTTTGTATTTTTAGTAGAGACGGGGTTTCTCCATGTTGGTCAGGTTGCTCTTGAATTCTCGACCTCAGGTGATCTGCCGGCCTTAGCCCCCCAAAGTGCTGGGATTACAGGCATGAGCCACCACGCCCAGTCTAAGGTTTTAAGAAAATACATACAAAAGTTGAAATGATGTGTATTAAACTGAGTTTTTCATTCTTTATGAAATCACCTTTACTTGACTTTGGAGTGAGTTCATTAATAGTTTTGTTTTTAAATGAGAATGATCAGGAATTTGTTTTCTTGAGTCTATGTGCCATTGTATGCTAATAACACTTCCACCGGCTTCAGTAAGAAAATTATACTGGTGTAGGACCAGAGGGGACAGCTCCTGACTGATGTCATGCACCATCAGTAAAAGATGTGACTGCAAAATGCCTTGTAGTATGAGGACAGTGGTTAAATTTCACTTCAGTGTCTTTTTAGCCTCACTCAGCACATATCAGTGTCTCAAATGAAAATAATTTAAAATTGATTGGCGACACTTGTGTCGTATCACAAAGGAAAGCCTGTGCTGCTTTATCAGATCTCACTAGCCAGTTGTGCGTGTTGCTGGTTGTATCATACAGCCGTTGCTAGTCTGACATTTACTGCAGGTGAAGCACATGCTATTGCAAAGTTTGATTATCACATCACTCTTTCCTCTTTCTCCCTATACCTCTAGTTTGGGCCGTTGGAAAGTAACTAACACATACACATCTTTTCACATAGAGCTTTCAGCAGAGGCCAAGGCAGCATTGCTGGAATTTGAAGAAAGGGAGCGACAGCATAAACAAGGACGCTACAGCTCGAGGCGGGGAGGACGGCGAGGAGGCCCGCTGATGTGTCGCGGCGTGGGGGACCAGAGGAGAGAGAGCACCGAGAGGGGCAGGATGAAGGACCACAGACCCGCGCTGCTTCCTACACAGCCTCCTGTCGTGGTAACTTCAGATTATATTGCGATAGCCCGAGAACTTTAGAACAAACGGAAGTAAACTTTTGTGGGTATCCTGTGATAACATTTCTCTTTCCTTAGTCTGAAGTAAAGTTTGGTGGCAGGAGTAATGGCTGAAGCTTCTGCTTTATGGTCTCCTGTGATTTTGCACAGTCTTAGAAATTCAGTGCTCCAGTCATCTGGTGGTAGGAACCCATCCTGTACCTATACTCATCAAATACTTCCAGAGGAGGAATTGATGTCCGAGGATGACAGAAGCTCCCGTGGGACCTTGCTACCCAAAGCCTCGAGGGAGGCACTTCTGAGTGGATTGCATTGAAAAGATGTTATAGACGGAATTTAGGCAGTTGTTGTTTGTTCTGTAAAAATATTTTTACCTTTATACTGTTTATCATAGATTTTCCCTTAAATAGCAGTTTCTCAGAATTATTATCATATTCCCTGTAAAAAGTTTTCATAGTTTGTAGTATAGGAATAAATCATGTACCTGTAATTTCCGTTAGAATTTCCTTTTTTATTCAAAAATGGCACATCTCAGAAACAAAGACAGGAATTGTTGATTTTTTTATTGTTCTTTTTCTTTGTTTGTTTTTGAGACAGGGTCTCCCTCTTTTGCCTAGGCTGGAGTGCAGTGGCATGATCTTGGCTCACTGCAACCTACACCTCCCTGGTTCAAGAGAGTCTCCTGCCTCATCTTCCTTAGTAGCTGGGATTACAGGTGCTTACCACCACATGCAGCTAATTTTAAAAATATGTTTAGTAGAGGCTGGGTTTCACCATGTTGGCCAGGCTGGTCTCAGACTCCTGACCTCAAGTGATCCACCCGCCTCGCCTCCCAGAGTGCTGGGATTACAGGCATGAGCCACTGGGCCCAACCCATTATTTCAGTTAAGCTTTAGGATTGTATGGTTTTTTCCTTAGAAGCCATTCTTCAAGGAAAAATTTACTTAATACAAGTACGTGTCCAGCACATGTCCTTTTTTGCATTTTTATCTGAATTTAGAGAAAACAACATTTCACTTCTGTTGCAATGTTATATTTTAGGAGGCATTCATTTGTGAAATAACAAAGTAGAAAAGATAATTTTAGTTTTCGCATGAGAATTCCAGCTCTGATGTGTAAAGGAAGGGAGAGGAGTAGCTAGGCATACACAATCCGTGATACTAGGAACTGCTGTTGGCTTACACAGCTGTTTCTGAGCATCTCTAACAGCAGAAAAGCTGGCTTTGCAGTTTGTCTTCTTTCCCTCGGTTGCTCCCTGTCTCCACCCCAGACCTCCACTTGCCAAATGTTGAATAGTCAGTTTCGTTATTTTGGCCTCTTTGGGGGCCAAACAACTCTCGCATGAGACCAATGTTGACGTAATTGTGTCTCTGTGAACCTGGAAAAATTGCTGAACTCTGTTTTCTTACCCATAAAGAAGGGGAGAACATGTATCTATCACCTGCCTTCTTAGAGAGGCTGAACCGAGACGGCGGGAATGCTTTTACAAATGTCATGGACATTCAGTTGACCTCATTCCTGGTGGTGATGTTCTATCTCTGGATCGTCATGTGACTGGTTTGAATGGTTAGAGCCTACTGTGTACTAGGAGTAAACTAGACAGCCACCCAAAGACTGACACAGCTTTGACTGGAAGTGATAGTCTAATCTTTGCCAATCAGTGACGAGATCAGGGCTGTATCATCCTCCACCCCAACTACGTTCTCTCACATCATGAGCTTTCTCCATCCTGTTCACTCCCCATTCCAGAGCTATTTTGGGTCTTTGAGTCTTGACCCTCAGAGTTTTGGAAAGAATATTTTTGGCTCATGTCTCTGCTTTCACCCATTTTCTCCTTGGTTGGCTCCTTGCTGCCTGGATATTCTGTTTACTGTCGTGAATTGTGCCCTCAGAGAGGCCATCTGATCCCTTGTCCTGTTGGCACCCACTCTGGGGCCTTTGGCGTCACACATGGTCTGTCTTTCTTGAGCAGCCCTTTCTTTGGGCATATGAGATTTTGGGTGTACTCTCTTATCTTCTAAAATGGTTTCTTCTTTCTCTCATTTGACCTTTTTATTTTCAGATTAAACTTTTATTTTTTAATTGCATGTATTTATGAGGTACAGTGTGCTATTATAGTATGTATGTGTTGTGGAGGGATTATAACAAGCTAAGTGACATAGCTATGCCTGTAAATACTTCTGGTTTTGGTATTGAGCACTTAAAATCTCTTTGAACAGTTTTGGAATGCCCTTTTCTTCCGTTGCATTTTTCTTCGGGTTTTGTTCTTAGTCCTCCTTTTACTCAGTGGTCTCGCCGGCGCTGTTCCTCATGCTGTCACCTGCTTCTCTCTGAGTCTTAGTCTAGCCTAACCTCTTTCCAGCTCCATTTCTCCATCTTTCAACCGTCCCTGTACCTCTCCAAACTCGTGTTTCACAGGCCCTGAATGTCACTTGTTTCATCAAACAAACATGATCTTTCCCAAACTCCATTGTGTTCTTGAATTAATGACTGTGCATTGTGGTCACTCTCAGTTCAGTTAAAATGTAACCTGGCGTCCCTGTGTCTGTTAGTGTGCTGTCTATGGGATGTGATGGTGAGTCAGATAGACAAGATCCCCACGCTCACGGGCAGATGTGCACAGAGGTGATGAGTTAAGGAGGGAAGGTACTGCGTTCTGGGAGCATGTATGAGGATGTATGAGCATGTTTCCGCATGTTTCCGCATGTTTCCACATGTTTGCGGGTGGGTTCGAGCCGGTACCAGAATCTCTGGAACCGCATCCCCTGAGGAAGGATAGCTGGGCCAAGGCCACTCGCAGTTGAGTTTCAGAATTCTGCTCACTGTTCCTCTGAGATGTCTTCTTGCTGTTGGTCAGACCATGGCTGTTCCTGTGATTCAGCCCTCGACATAGCCTGTTAGATTGTCTCCGTCCGTCTTCTTTACCCTCATTCATCTCACACTGCTGTGAATGATCATCTTCCTACCAGAGAGATCGTCTGTGATCCCTTATTGTACATGTTGTCTATGGTGTAATAATGGATCATTTGGTTGGAATTCAAAAGCCCTCCATAATTTGGCATCATCTGAGGGAAAATAGCTTGTTAAATTAGATGGCTGAATTAGTAGTAGTCTACTGCTAATTAGCTGTGTGGCAAGTTTGACTAGTGATTAAAATCAAAACCTGGAATCAGATGGCCTGAATTCCAGTTCCAGCTCTTCTGCTTTTCAGCTGCTTGATCTTGTAAAAGTATGTCAGTAAATAGGACTTACTTTATAGGGGGAGCCAGGTCGGCTACCTTTCTGTACTGACCTTATAGTAGGCACTTAAAGCGTGTGGAAGGTTCAATCCACAGCAGCTGTTGCTGTTGTTGATTTCCTTCTCTGTAGTGACTGTTTAATAACCAACACTAGAGACAAAATAACCAAGCTCGAGATCTCTGACCACTTTGAGTGTGTAATTTTCATACCTTCTTTCTTTTTTTTTTTTTTTTTTTTCCTTGAGACGGAGTTTCGCTCTTGTTACCCAGGCTGGAGTGCAATGGCGCGATCTCGGCTCACCGCAACCTCCGCCTCCTGGGTTCAGGCAATTCTCCTGCCTCAGCCTCCTGAGTAGCTGGGATTACAGGCACGCACCACCATGCCCAGCTGATTTTTTGTACTTTTAGTAGAGACGGGGTTTCACCTTGTTGACCAGGATGGTCTCGATCTCTTGACCTCGTGATCCACCCGCCTCGGCCTCCCAAAGTGCTGGGATTACAGGCGTGAGCCACCGCGCCCGGCCTCATACCTTCTTTCTTGCCTTCTCTCCTGGTCTCCTAGTTTGACCAGGCAGGTGGGTCTCTGCTGCTTCTGCTTCTTTCTGGGTGTCTGTCTCTCACTTTCCTTATACTTCTGTCTCCTTCATCACTGAGTTCAGGTGCCACCTTCTCAGAGAAGCTCCCTCCCCGCCTCTCCTGGAGTCTGGCTCTTTGTAGCCCCGTCCTTTTCTCGCGCCTCAGTTCCCTAGCAGGGTAACTGGCAGATCTCCTGCCTTTCCTCTCAGAGGTCCTGGAGGAGCAAGCAGGACGACTACGACCAGGGCGTGGCCGCAGCTCTTCTGCGCCGGCAGGCTTTGCTCAGCGTGCGCGGTTTTATTCCCTGAACCGAATTTTTCTTTTTTCAAAATTCATGTTGGGTGCTTTGGGTCTGTCAGTTTTTTCGCTCTTGCCTTGAGAATGACTCAGTTGTGAGACAGTAGCCCTCACTGTGAAGAAGAGAAGCTCCTTTATCCTGCCGTTTTGATACAAGTTATTAACTACAGACTTCTTACACCGGAACTTAAAATATTCAATCACTGTAAATTTGTAATATGTCAGCATTCTTTAACATGTTGATTTTGGTGAACTTTTTTTTTTTTTTTTTTTTTTTTTTTTGTGATTTGTAGACTCATTCTCCAAGGTTAATTCCTCCTCCACAGCCTCAGGCTCCCCCTCCGCCGCCACCACCACCTCAGCAGCAGCCGATCAGAAGCCTGTTCCAGCCTCAGCAGCTGCAGCCTCTGCTTCCTGTGCAGCACCCGCACCACACATCCCCGCCGCAGGGAATGCACATGCCTCCCCAGCTAGAGACCCCAAGGATGATGATGACCCCGCCACCCGTGACTCCACAGCAGCCCAAGAACATACACATCAACCCGCACTTCAAAGGGACGGTGGTCACGCCTGTTCAAGGTCTGTGTTTCCTTTTACGGTTGTAAAGCATGGATAGCCCCAGCTTCCAATGGCGTGACTTAGGATTTTTCCACTGCCACATTTTCGGCTTCATGAGCATGTGAAGGCAGTATGCGTTCAGTAGAAATCATAGTTCTAATGTTGTGGTTTGAGCTCTCCTGGGGTAGCACCATGCATCACAAGACTCCCTCGAGCTGGGCAGGGGCCTGCAGTTCCCAGGCAGCCCCGATGATTTTGCCAGCTGTGGAATGTGAGTGTTCTGAGCCTAGGTAGGCAAGGCTAAGCTATGATGTTTCATTGGTTGGCCATATAAATGCATTTCGACTAAGGGTCTTCACAGCTTACGATGGGCTTGTTGGGGTGTAACCCCATCCTAAGTTGAGAAGCATCTGTTATGTTATAGATGACTGTGCATCTGAAGGCATTTATTTATTAGTTTATTGCATTGAAGCTGTTGCTGTGGGAAAATGGTTTTCACATTAAAGTTTGTAAGGATTTGTTTTCCTTGGCTCTTCCCCATTCACTTAGATTTTAGCTTGATGGGTCAAGCTTATTTCTTTAAAAATGTGTATCTCTTATTATATAATTGAGTGGAAAGCACTGAGAGTACAGTCTGAATGCAGAGAATACATTAGAGATAGCTACTGGAATGTCTGAGCCGTGACAGTTCGTAAGTCTCCTGGTGAGGATGTTTGCAGTGGTAAGTGTCCCTCTGTGGTTCCAGGCAGCATGCCCCCGCTACATTCCAGTGTCAGCTCGTGGAGAGGGATACATCTGTCTTTCAGTTGTTATAGTCAAATAAGTGCAGATCTGATGATTACTGAAACTTGTTCCTTAAGCTAGGAAACTGTTTTTGAGCAGTTTATATGAAGCATTAACTTCATGTGTCTGTGAACACATTTAGGGAGCTACTACTCTATTTTTGGCATTTGAGTTATGTGAACAAAACAGACAAAGCTTTCTTTCATCATAATCTTGCTTTCTAGCAGACAGTCTTCTTACTGCTTATTAGCCATAAACATAAGTATTTTATGTGGCATGTTAGAAGATGAAAATGCAGTGAGAAATTGAGCAGGATGAAGGGAACGGATGGGGTGTATCTTAAATAGGGTGATCAGGGTGAATGTCACTGAGCAGGAGAGAGTTGAGGGATATAGGAAGGTAGCACTGTGGCTGTTCAGGGAAGAAGAATGCAGGGGCTTCCTCTAGGTGAGACCCTGCCTTGTGTGTGGCAAAAAGGAGACCAGCCTGACTTGGGGCGTGATAAAAGCAGAGAAAAAAATGCAGAACCTGGGTCCTGCGGAGCAGTGGGGCCATCCTCAGGACTTGGGCGGGGAGTGACATGGGGGGGATGAGAGGCGTTTCAGCAGAGGAATTACATGACTGGTGTATGCTTTAGAAGGCTCCTCCTGCTCCTGTGTCGAGAGTAGACTGTAGGGTGGCAAGGGTGGAAGCCAGCGTCCAGCTAGGAGGTGACAGATGATCCGGCTGCAGATCAGTGGTAGCAGGGAGAGAGTGGGGAGCTCAGGACTGGAGGAGTGTGAGGGAAGACAGGAGGTGCGAGAGAGGCCGAGGGGACCAGAGCATCTAGAGGGATTGATTGCATCACCTGATGGGCGCAGACCACAAGTTCTGTTTTGGGTGCATTACATTTGAGATGCCAGCTAGCCATGTGGGTGGAGGTGTCTAGTAGACAATTGGATGAAAGTTCAGTATAGGGGTTTGGGCTCAAAGTGCAGGTGAGGAGGTTGTCGGTGAATATCTGGATTTAGACCCTGTACATGAGTGAGAGCAGGGAGTCTGTGTGTGGGGAGACCAAGGACTAGAACCCAGGGTCCTTGACATAGGCGGTGGGGGCAGGAGGAGAGCCCCACAGAGGAGCTGGGAAGGAGGAAGGAGAATGATGGTCAGCAGGGAAGGAAGCAGGTGGCCATGGGCCAGCAGAGCCGCTGCTGACAGGTCCATGGTTGTGGCCTGCACTTGGGGGTGGTGCTGGTGAGGAGGAGGCACAGCCTGGCTGAGATGGGGTGCGGCCATGAGAGCACTACATTGACAGACTTTGTGTTTCACCGTAACGGAAGTTGGGTGATAATTGGGGGGAGCCACGTGGGCTTGAGAAAAAGTTTTTTATTCTTTTTTAAGTTCTTTCTCATTTTAACTTACAGGATTGTTGCATAGGTACACACATGTCATGGTGGTTTGCTGCCTCCATCCTGCTGTCACCTACATCAGACATTTCTCCCAATGTTATCCCTCCCCAACTTCCCCACCCCTTGCTATCCCTCCCCTAGCACCCCACCCCCCAACAGACCCCAGTGTGTGATGTTCCCCTCTTTGTGTCCATGTGTTCTAATTGTTCAACACCCACCTATGAGAACATGCGGTGTTTGGTTTTCTGTCGTTGTGTCAGTTTGCTGAGAATGATGGTTTCCAGATTCATCCATGTCCCTGCAAAGGACATGAACTCATCCTTTTTTGTGGCTGCATAGTATTCCACCGTGTGTATGGGCCACATTTTCTTTATCCAGTCTATCATCGATGGACATTGGGGTTGGTTCTAGGTCTTTGCTATTGTAAACAGTGCCGCAGTGAACATACGTGTGCATGTATCTTCATAATAGAATGATTTATAATCCTTTGGGTATATACCCAGTAATGGGATTGCTGGGTCAAATGGAATTTCTATTTCTTGATCCTTGAGGACTTGCCACACTGTCTTCCACAATGGTTGAACTAATTTACACTCCCACCAACAGTGTAAAAGTGTTCCTGTTTCTCCACATCCTCTCCAGCATCTGTTGTCTCCAGACTTTAATGATCGCCATTCTGAATGGCATGAGATGGTATCTCAATGTGGTTTTGATTTGCGTTTCTCTAATGACCAGTGATGGTGAGCATTTTTCCATATGCTTTTTGGCCTCATAAGTGTCTTCTTTTGAAAAGTGTTCATGTCCTTCACCCACTTTTTGATGGGGTTGTTTGTTTTTATCTTGTAAATCTGTTTTAGTTCTTTGTAGATTCTGGATATTAGCCCTTTGTCAGATGGGTAGATTGTGAAAATTTTTTCCCATTCTGTTGGTTGCCAGTTCACTCTAATGATTGTTTCTTTTGCTGTGCAGAAGCTCTTAAGTTTAATTAGATCCCATTTGTCCTATTTGGCTTTTGTTGCCATTGCTTTTGGTGTTTTAGTCATGAGGTCCTTGCCTGTGCCTATGTCCTGAATGGTGTTGCCTAGGTTTTCTTCTAGGGTTTTTATGGTGTTAGGTCTTATGTTTAAATGCTATCCCCATCAGGCTACCAGTGATCTTCTTCACAGAACTGGAAAAAACCACTTTAAACTTCATATGGAACCAAAAAAAAAGTCCCCATAGCCAAGACAGTCCTAAGCAAAAAGAGCAAAGCTGGAGGCATCACACTCTCTGACTTCAAACTATACTACAAGGCTACAGTAATCAAAACAGCATGGTACTGGTACCAAAACAGAGATATAGACCAATGGAACAGAACAGAGCCCTCGAAGTAACGTCACACATCTACAACCATCCGATCTTTGACAAGCCTGACAAAAACAAGCAATGGGGAAAGGATTCCCTGTTTAATAAATGGTGTTGGGAAAACTGGCTAACCATGTGCAGAAAGCAGAAACTGGACCCCTTCCTGACACCTTACACAAAAATTAACTCCAGATGGGTTAAAGATTTAAACAAGTATTTTATTCATTGCACTTATAGAAAAGAGCTAGTTAAGAAGAAAAAACATCATTGATGCAGAGGAGAGGAAAAACCTGTCCTTTTCAGGATTAAGTGCCAGAGGTGGGGTTGTTGGGATGGAAGAGAGGGAGTCCTCATCAGATGGGACAGATGGTGAGGACTGAGCTCAGATGGGTGGGCAGGTGGACAAGTCTTGTGTCAGTTCTTCCTTGGGGGCCTCAGTTTCCTCAGTGGGTAGCAAGGAGCTAGAGTGGGGAGGTAGGAGATCGTGTTGAAGGTCCGAAAGGAGGAGCTATGGAGTATCTTCTAGTGCTGTTAAAGAGTGGATGTGTACCCTGAGCCCTAGAGGGGTGTGGATTTGAGGTGAGAGCAGTCAGCATGGTTGTGTGTGTCTGTCCAGCTGCGCTCATCTGCACACAGTAGGTGTGGAATAGGTAGGCAGTTGGGTTTACAAGGGTCATGGTTTTCACAAAGTGGTAAAGGCAGTGCTGATAACGATGGATTGTGGCTCTTAAGGTAGATGCCAGGGAGGAGAGGACACCGGGGAGCAGGCTGAGACGGTGAAAAGGAGGTCATTGGAGATCTTCTTAGAGTTGAATGATTGTTCGAATCGGGGTCCTAGAGGGAGCGAGATGGAAGGGTAGAATGGTCACCAGGACTGGAGGCAGAGGGGGCACGGACCTGAGGCAAGGCACAGCAAGGGCCACTTTTGTGTTTATTCAGACTGGGGCTGAACTCCCTGAAACGTGAGAGGGGCAGTGTGGTGCTGGGGGATGTCAGGTGGTGACATGAGATGAAAGCTGGGTCTGGAAGCAGCAATAAGATCAAGAGGGAGCCCTTGTGCCTCCAGACCTTTGGCAAGAAGCTGTGGGAGAACAGCTGCCACTCAGGGGCCATTAGAGCGAGAAGGCGAAGGAGCAGGGGTGTTGTGCACGCTGCAAATGGGTGGGGAATTTGGGATTCCCAGGGGTGTGGGAGAGAAGTTTCAGAAGATGAGAGTAGCCTGAGGTAGTAGTTCAGGTGCGGGGATTGGCCAGTGGCCTAGAGCCTGGGAGCCTCCCATACTGATGTACATGGGTCAAAAGTATTATGAAGCTGTCCTGTGGCCATGGAGCAGGGGACCAGGATGGTGACAGGCTGACCCAGAGTGGAAGGGAGGGGGCGTCTCTTGACAGTGTTTGCGGGTCACCACCAGGCCACTGGGCATGGCAGAGAACCATGAAGTTGTAAAGTATGATTAACTCCTAACCCCTCTTGACCCCATTGCATGTCCCTATGTGCCCACAAAGCTCTTCCCACCCTGGTTAGCATCGCTCGTCGCCACGTCCTCTTAACGTGGCCCTGAGCGTCGCTGACCGGCGCGGTGCCTGTGTCTCCCACAGTAGCTGTTGAATGGATGGACGCGTGAACACATGCATGCTTGAATGGGGAAGTGTGGCTTTCCTTCAGGTAATATTTTGTGTCTTCCCCATAGTGGTTGCCCTAAATTTGGAACTCCTGTCTGTCAAATTTGTTGGAATAATTTTGCTTATGCTGGCATTTGTTATTGTTGTGCATTTCCTTGTAAAATTCAATGGAAAACTGGCAGTTGGTAATATATACAGATTTTCTTTAGCTTAACTAAAATAATTTTAGAACCATAGGGTGGTAAAACTATGAGGAAGACCCGAGATATCCTCTGTGCGTGAAAGTGGTATCCCCTGCAAAAGGCAGCAGGCTGACAAGTGTAGAATGCAGGCCTTGCACCCCAAAGCCCACGTGTGATTTATCAACTACTCCACGGTCAGCCTTCTAACGAAAGTTTAAACCCTGAACCAGCTAGCCTTTCTTCACCATGAAACCAGGAGCTCTAGTGCCACATATCCCTTATCTGTAATTTACCTTTGATCTTCAGAGGTACACTGACAGGAGAGGAGGACAGAGTGTCCTTACTGGGTACGGATAGGAAACACTTTTGAAGCAGTTGTTTATTCTGTAATAAATGAATGGGCTTAAGTAGAAATACACAGTTTCTCTTGAGAGAGACCGAATATCAAGATGTCTCCGGTACATAAAAGATACACAGATTAAACCAGTGATTCTCAGAGCCTTATGCAGATGAAAGATGCTTTTTAAAAAAGTTAATATATACACATCTTCTGATGGCACGTACTGTCTTTTTGAGGACGAAGAGTGTTCCACTATAATTCATTTAAAAACAATTTTGATGGAAATTTAACTTGTTTCCAGATTTTCAGTATTTCAATTATAATGAATTGAAAACAGTGCATTAGATAACATGGAACAACATGGTGTAAATATTAAACTTCAGATATTCAAGTTGAGGTTTCAGCTAGCCTGGGCTCTATCATCACTCCTTTTAAATTCTTCTCTGCTCACATTGGTCAGGGAGGCAGTCAGGCAGCCAGGGACTGGAGGGAGAGCGTGTAGACGATGCCTGGGCATTCCCACTGAGGTGGCTTCTCTTGGGTGGGCCGGGGGTCTGCCCTGTTCCCACCGTGACTGCCTGCAGCAATCCTTTTGTCTGCTGTTTTTCCTTTTTTTTTTTTTTTAATAGGGAAAAGGCTGGTACTTTATGGAAATTACCAGCTCATCAGAAGCTTCTGTGTAAGAAATCCATTTATTATCATCAGATTGCTTTCTAGAGATCTCACCTTGCCTTCTTGCTCTCATTCTCCTGGTTAAAGAGGCTTCATGTTTTATCCTTTTATCATGTTGGAATTTTTTGGTAGGTGTTGGCATTTAAATTCCAACTTTACAAGTAGTGCTTATGATTGAGTTATTGAAGATCTGGGTGCTTTCTATTTGTTAACTTGATTTTAAAAATCATGTCTTTGTATTTAACATGTAGTGTTTTTCTTTGTCACCTTCATTATAATCTTCTGAGGTCAGAAATATTCTTGTTTTCCTTCTCCACTTTCTCTAGTCTAATATTTCACTTTAGATAAGGAATTGCTGTAACACCAGCTGTGTAGAATTGAGGGGAGGGTTGGATTCTACTTTATATAAAGTCTTGGAAACTGACCCACTCTAATTTTGAAATTTGGACTCCATCTGTCAAGGAAGGGAGGAACTTCTGCCATTTTTACATTTTATAATAGTAAGCTTCTCTCAGTCACACTTTGCATTTGATCAAGCAGTGACACAGCCCCATGTGTGCTACCACTTGAAAATAAGTATGGGAAGTGTGATGTCAATTATAAGGATGTATGGAATTCCTTGAGTAATCATAGTTAATAAAAAAAAGTGTATTCTAGCACTCTTGTTTTTAAAGTGATTCTGATTGACTCTTTTTTTCTTCTGATTGACTCTTAAAAGCTACACCTCTGTATTTCTCATTTAGCAGAAACTTCTTAAATTAAAAATGCGCTACATTGTCAATTCCCCTGATGTGTATGAGTTTGCTAGGGCTGCCATAACAGGCACTGCAGATAGGGCAAGCTAAACAACAGAAACTTATTTTCTCACAGTTCCAGAGGCTGGAAGTCCAAGTTCAAGGTGTGGGGGCAGGGCAGCTTCCTTCTGAGGCCTCTCGCCTTGCCTTGTCCTTGGCCGCCTTCTCCCTGTGTCCTCACCTGGTCCTCCCGGCTGTGTGTACTATCTGTCTCTAAATTTCCCTTTCTTATAAGGACAGCAGTCAGGTTGGATTAGGGCCTAGACCTCATTTGACCTTAATTAACCCCTTCAAAGAGGTAATTAGTGGAATTCAGTTATATTATGAGGTACTGGGGTTGGGGCTTCAACTTATACATTTGGGGTTGGGTGCAGGGGTCCGGAAAGGGAGTTGCAAACAGTTGACCCCACAGTACCTGACAATCTGAGAGGTTCCTAGGTGCATCTGCTAGCACATTTTGATGAAAGGCATAGCCTGCATTTAGGTCGTGAGTTTCTTTGAAAATCAAGATCAGTATAGTGCATGGTGAGTTTTAAAGAGCTTAAACACATCTGCTATAGCCTCAAGGTATGAAACGTACAGCTAGCTTCTTCTCTATTATGAAATGTCTTTTAAAAAATGATTTGATTCCTTGTTCTTTTGGTGGATTGATGGAAGTCTTGCTTGTTTATAAACTAAAGTAAACTAAAATCTTGGCATAGTAGATTGTTTAGTAGATCCTTCTTTTTAATGGCCTGTGAGCATTTTCTCCAATTCCTGGGATGTGTTGTTTTCCTTTCTCTGACTGCCTCACTTCCCTCCCTCCCCTTCTCTCTGTCATGATTCATGAGGATTGAGATTTAAATTTTTATATGACTGGTGTAGGAAAATATAACTGGGGCTCAATAACCTGGATAGCCTGGATAGGGATAGGAGAAACAAACTATCTTCTTGTGTTGCAAAATATTTTAATTCCAAATAGCAGTCAACTACTGAGATTGGAACTTCTGCTTGCACTGTTGTGTACCGAAAGGAAACTTCTGCGTTCCCCTTTTCTCTTAAGGAATTGTTAAAACTACTAAATGCTTAGCTTAAGTGTAAGCGCGATGTATTATGTCTGGTATGCACAGTGTATATTTCATATTAAATTTCATATCTTGTGTCTCTAACGCAAGGCGTTTTTCTTGCAGTGCCCTTGCTGCCAGTTCCGAGCCAGCCGAGACCTGCCGTGGGACCCCAGAGATTCCCAGTGAGTAGCAGCTGCTTCTTCTGCTCTGATAGGGATGAGCACACATTTACTAAGAAATATTAATATACCAAGTGCAAGAGGTTCCAGCCAAATATAATTTTAAGGATTTGCAAATATTGACAATAATCTCTGCAATAGAAAATGTTTGTTAAAAGCTTAAGGTCAATGAATTTTTGAGAGTGGAATTAATTTTGTTTAACTGTAAAATTGTTGAATCAGGATCATCAGTGGAATGTCATTTGTCTTAAAGAATATGAATATTGATTTTATTATTGCCTTATGTTAAGTGAGAAAGGACCTTGCTTTATTGGAGAGATGGAGGTGTGTGTGCACGCGCACACAGGCACATGTGTGTTTGTGTATGTGTATGAAATTCTAGGAAATGAAAATGAGAGATCTCTTCTTGTTTTTTAAAAGAACTCCCAGGGTCTTAAGGAGCCACTCATTTTGTATTTTAAAATGAAGGTTTTCACTTGAGAATACTTTTAAAAGAAAGCATTCATTCTCTCTCTTTCTCTCTCACACACGCTCTGTCTCTCATTCACTTATACACACACAGACATGTGCACTTCGCTGTATTTTCCTTAATTTTATCCAGTCTTCTAGCATGTTTTAGGTAGAAGAAACAAGCCCATGAACTAGTTACATTTGTTTAAATATATACATTTTACTTTGTTTGAATCTTTGGTTCAGTGTGTAGTTTGTTCATGATTTTATTAAACTAGAGAGTACTTTTTTTTTAAACAGTGTGGGGGAAAAAATGTACTGACCATAAACATTAATGTCATTTATGTGCAAAACAGAGATAGTCTTAATTAGGTTAAACAGTCTGATTTTCAGGAAATATCTAAGTGACCTATTTAACTGTTTATCTTTGGTACTTCAGTACATAACATTTATATATGGCATTTAGCAGAAAGGTTTTAATGAAGGATGTGAATGTATAATCAGTTGATTATTCAAAAATAACATTACTGGCTTTAAGGTTCAGAGTTTCAAAGAAACTTCTTTGACTTATAGTTAATATGAATTATGACACGTTTCTAAAGCTAGCGCTTCCTGATTTCTTTATATTTAGCTAATGTGTTTTTATAAATTATTTGCCAAGTTCTAAAAGTTAGTTGTTTTCAAAAGAGGTGATATGTATTGAGCATCTATTTGAAGCAGTTGTCTGAAAAGCCAAGTTTTATTAGTTCCATTACCCAAGGCTGACATGGATAATTTTAGTCATTGAATACATCGCTTCTGTGGAGTAGTTGATCTGCTAGTTATTGTAAAGCACTGACATATTAAATACTTTTTTGCTTTCTCAAGACTGTGAATATATCTGTGTTAAAATCATTTTCGGATGTGGATTCATGTTTTGTACTACAGGGATAAAATTTGATGAAAAGCATTTGCAGTTAAGATATAAACCTAAAGCAGTGTAATTGATGTTTTTGTAAAAATATTTACTAGTACAAAATTATAATAGTCACTTGCCATTTTTATTTCATTTTTCAATTATGCAAACATGATGTATTAGAAGAGGATAATAAAAGAACATTTTTGTGAGAAATTGAACTTGCCTTTCAGTTACATAGTACTCTGAGCATGGTAAATATGTTTCAAGGCAGTTTTGAACAGTTTTCTGTGAGGTGTAATGTTCTTTTTGTTTTTGAGATGGGAAGTGTGTGTAGGTGATCAGAAATAGTTGGGCTAGAAATGAGCTGTATATGCAAATATAGCTTAAGAAATGTTCTCTTCAGCGCAGGTATTTACCACGATTTAACATGTATCTTAAGTCCCAAGTGCTGACGTTACAGTGAACTTGGGGTATAGAACATGCAGTGCACTACTTATTTCTGTAATCATTTTCCCTTAGAGAAAATAATGAAATGTGGAATGTATCTTTTGAAATACAGTAGCAGTATTGTGTTTTTAAAAAGCCCACCAGAGTATTGTTGGGAGGATGATAAACTATAGGGTGTCTCTGGTTGTTTTACTTGGAAGCCAGATCTTTGTTGAGTAAAATTATTTTTTCTTTTTTTCTGCTACTAGATTAAACTTGCTTTCTATGAATGTAAGTGTAATTTATGAACATTTAATGAGGATCTACTTTATGCCAAGTGCTCTGCATAGTGCTCGTCTCTAAGCTATAAAATGAACCAAGCATAGTTAAATGAAGCCTAACTGATGTCCTCAAGCTAATTTTCATTTGAGTAAGATTTAAAAATAGTGAAGACAGCATTATTGTGGCTTAGCAAAGCCCTTTGGAGATTTCTTATTGATGGCCAAATACCCTGAAGGCTCTGTCTTGGCTCTTATGGATGGCTGTCTGCCCCTCAGTTTCTATCCTGTTGGTTTTCTGTATTTCGGGCTCAATCAATATTTGTTAAACTGAATTTTGCTTTGTAAACTGACTACACACACACACACGCACGCACGCACGCACGCCGGCACGTGTACACACACACACACACACACACACACACACACACACACAGTGATGAAATATTCAACTTCAGATTTAGCAGGTGGTCTGTTTGAGTCTTCCTTGGTACATAAAAATAGATTTGAATTCAAAAATCTGTGTGCCAGTTGTTACGAAATTTGCCATTGAGCAAATCAAGTCCATTGTAATCCCTCCTTTCCCCAGCTTAAGAACCTTTAAAGGAATTCTCCTTGCTCCTGGGATAGGAAACGTTCTATCCAAAGCTATGCACGTAGTGTGTATGTAGCTTCCTCACGTCAGTCAGGGCTGTGTGTTTACTCCTATTTATGTGGTATCTGGTGAATGTTGGTGGCTCAGTGCCACAGAGTCCCAGTCACCCTGTGCTCAGTGGTGCACTTAGCCACAGGCCCTGTGCAGAGAGGCGGGAGGGAGTGCAGAGTTGCCATACATACCTGGAAACTTACTATAGAGTGATCTTACTGCTTATTGGGAGCCCTAAGTAGAATGAGCAATGTAAAGGGGTGTGTGCATTTTAATTTTTGTATTTTTTACCTTTTATTGTTTGCAAGACCATGTATGTGAATTTGCCTAGTAGAATTATATCACATGCATTTCACTATACAATAATACAGTTTGGCACCCAACTGACTAAAGGGTAAAAAAAAAAAGGCAGACAGTAGACAAAGTATCACCAGATTTCCAAATTTTAAAGGATGTACAACACATTTGGTATTCATGCTTAATTTAGAACTGGTGTGTCCGGAAATTTTGCTGAGTGGTAATACCTCCAGTTTTTAAATTAAAAATTACAGAAATTGAGGCACCAAAATAGAAAACACTATTTTTCACAGTGTGTAAAATTATTTAAAATTATTTTTAAAATTCTTAAAAATCCAAAGCTGAGGCCAAAATTTGGTATTCTAGGCTTTGCTTGTAGTCAGACTAATCTTTTATTTCTTGTTAATTAGCATTTAGAGAATTTAATAAATGATTTTTAAAACAAATAATTGAATGTCAAAATAAGTGTCTTAAGAAAAGGATCCTTGTTTTTGATCATTTGGGGGAAAATTGTTTTAGCTCTTGGTTGTGTTAGTCTTTACACTAGGATGCATGTCCTTCCCAGCCCCTCATTTAAGGAATTCTGTGAAGTGCTTTGTAATTTAAAAATTAGATTCACGTACTTAATTTTAGTTATAGATAAGGACGTTCGTTCTGAACTCTAGAATTTTTTTCTTCTGATTGTAAAATATATTTTTGTTACATAAGTTACGAATGCTTATATGGCTGATGAGCACAGGAAGTGACATACCCTCGGAGCGTCACATGTCCAGTGTGACTGGCTAGCCCTGCTCCATCTGGGCACCTTGCCCTGTCCAGTCTTCCACTCTGGCTTCTTACCATCCACTAGTCCATTTAATGAACATGTTTTTGTTCAGGTCAAGGTTGTTGAATGCTCTATCACAAAACATTGTGTTTGTTTTGTTTTGTCTTTTAAATAAGGGAGTAGTGGGGTGGAAGGCTAGTTTACCTTTCTGAAAGTAAGTTTCTGCACTTTAAATTCTGTGTTCCATTTCGGATGTTCCTTGTTTTACAATTAAATTAATCTACTTGGTTTCTCTTTCTACAAAGGCTATACCTGGTGTTTTTGTCACTAACATAAAGTTATAAGTCCTTATCTTATCCATAAAGTATATTTTCTAGTCATGGATTTGTCCTCAGAGAGTTTTTTTGTTTTTAAAGTTTGCCCACTTAAAAAAGTAACATAAAATGTCAATTGTTGAAATATTTTTAAAGTGTTTTGAGATTTTTCTGAATGTAGTTTTGTTTTTCAGTGCAATTGCTGTTTTTAAGCTTTTGAAAAAGGCCTGAGCTAAATTTTAAGCTTATGAAAAAATCATTTTGAAGATTCTTGACCTAGAGTTTTCTTTTTTGTTGTTGTTGAGACTGAATCTCGCTCTGTCGCCAGGCTGGAGTTCAGCTATTTGATCTTGGCTCACTGCAACCTCTGCCTCCCAGGTTCAAGCCATTCTTTTGCCTCCGCCTCCCAAGTAGTTGGGATTACAGGTACCCACCACTATGCCCAGCAATTTTTTTGCATTTTTAGTAGAGGTGGGGTTTCACCTTGTTGGCCAGGCTGGTCTCAAACTGCTGACCTCATGATTCGCCCGCCTTGCCCTCCCAAAATGCTGGGATTATAGGCATGGGCAGCCATGCCCGGCCGACCTAGAGTATTTTAAAACCTGTTCAGTCCTTTGATTTTTACATTGGTGTGTTGGGCAAATAATGAAGTTTCAGTTAGCCGTTAAACACCAGGTGGTTTGGCTGCTGAATACTTTCTTAGTGCCTTTTGTTTAAAATAAACCATACTTTTAAGTTTAAATGCATCTTCTTAACAATCATATTATTACTTACTTACACCTAGCAAATGAGATTCTCATTTTTGCTTACTCTGTAGTTACAGCATGTCACAGGTCTTATAGTTTGGACCGTTATTTGGGCACATGGTATCAGGTGGTAGTGACTGATGTTTCCTGGATATGTCTTATAGGCCATTTCATGCAAATCA